CAGACATTACATTTACGAACAAATTTCGATTGAAATAGAATTGAAGAACAACATTAATATTAACTAATAAACTAAACACATAAGAACTGTTTAAAGGTTTATAGGCAGGTTTTATGCAATCGTTCAGTTTTCTGCATTTTGAACTTAGAATTGCTCGAAGATGTTTATATCTTCCCTATTTATGTTTATTTTCTTCATTACCAATTATTATTATTAAAAAAAAGATATTTAAACTCCTCTTTTGTTAGTTCGCTTCTTCCGGAGAGCACTATACTTGCCCAGAGCTTGTGTTCGGTGTCGACTTAATATCCCGAGCAACAACGAAGCAATAGAGAAGCCGGAAACAGCGATCAATTTTCGGATTGTTGCCTCTGAACAGGAAGCAGTTCGTGGCACCCCAACAACCAGATGCGGGGAGGTAGTAGACGCGAGGTCCAGACCAGGCACCCAGCATATTGCGCAGGTGGAAAATTTATAATTTGCAAAATTGCCACACTCACACACGGACTCACGCACGTTGGCAGCATGTTAAATGGGCCTCCTGCCTCTGGCTCCTGCCACTTGCCACCTCCTGCCTTCTGTATCCAGCTCCTGCTGCCTTAAATTATGTTAACCTCAAACGAGACGATCCTGGCCTCCGACCCAGAACGACCCGTGTACAAAGTTCGATTTAAGGCCTCGTTTATTTTGCCATCCTCGCAGGGGCGGAAGGTGGAAAGCAACCAGTCGTCTGGTTGCATGTTGCAAAAGTTGTTGCCGTTGCACAACCGCATGCCACAACATGCAGGCTGACTGGACGACCTGCGGGAACTGGGGTTACGGCCGGGGTCGGGGTTGCGAAAGGGGCCTGCGACCAGGGTTGGGTCTGACATGCCCCACTTGGCAATTGCCAAAACTATTTGTTTACATATTTAGAGCAGGCCAAGGAAGAAAGCCGGCAGGGCATGTTGTCAAGGCATGTTAACTGTGAAATATGCGCATTTAAATGGACATGGCAGGAGGAGATCCTGGAGAGGGGACTGCGAGGTGCTGTGGGGAATCGTTTGTTAGCACCTACGGAGGAAGTCACAGGGGATATTGATATGATAAATACCTGGCTAAGAACTCAGAAGAACGCTACGAATTCAGCAGAATAAAACCATTTGCGAAGGACTCACTTCAGACATATATTTGCGATCTTAAAATATCATTGCGACTCATCTTGTGGCTTGGCCAAAGCACAAATGCCACGAAAAATACAAAAAAACCTAAGCCCACTTCGCAGGCAGACCCACCTACATAAGTCAGAATCAAAGCTCATCTCTTCAGACGTAATTAAGCCATTTGCTGCACGTTTTGCCAATTCAAAAATAGCGCCCCTTCCCCTGTCTAACCAACAAAGCTCCGGCGTCTTCGTCTTATCGCCGCCTGCCACCAAATGCAAAGCTGAAGAGGCCGAAGCCTCATTTGAATCGCCGAATGGGGAAGCAATGTTAGAAAGGGGAGGGGTTTCATCCCCCTGAGTTGAGGAGAGGGCTGGGGAGCTGGGTGCCCTCAGGGCCGAGAATTCGTAGAAAAATCACGCGCGCTTATCTGACGCCATACCCTTAACCAAACCCCCGCAATTAACGCCCATTGGGCTGTCAGTGTGAGAAATGAGAGATGGGGAACCCCCCGGGAATCGCCGAGGAGGCAGTCTTGAGCAACTGCGAAATGATTTGCAAACGACGAACGGCCGCTATCGAATCGAATGCCGAATTCCGAACGCTCCGCTCCACCAATAGCTACAAATTTTAATTGCTTCAGCGATATCTGGGCGTCGAGGGGCGTGGTAGGACGCCCCCAAGGAGCAGGGCTGCGTCATGGCAATAAGTCGCATTGATAAGGGAGTCACGTTCTGGTCCTGGCAAAGCCAAAGACAATGTTGTTGCCGTCTTCATTATCAATGACAGAGGCGAACGGAAGGAGGCTGGTGCAGGAAACAATGGTTACTCTTTTATTGCCCCAGCCTGTGACTGTGCCTGTGAGTCAAATTGATAAGATGCTGAAAATGACTGGAAAAACAATAAACGTGGGCATGAAACGAATAAAGCCAGTGTTCCCGAGGTAGGAAGGAGTTGTTCCTTTGGGCGGGGGAACACCAATGGAGGAGGCACACAGTTCGCGGTGCATAAACAGAACGTTTGGGACATTTTAATGAGCGGCAGGAGGCATCATTCGACTCTTTGATAGGTTCCTTGCACTCTGAATTTCTGCGAAAGAAATGGCAGTTGCCAGGAGGCGAAAACTTTTGTGCCGAAAACAATTTCAAGCACTCTCGAAGCAGGGAAAACTTTTCCGAAGATAACTGGGTAAAGGTTCGGTTAACCCTGGAGCTGAAATATGAACTGCATTATCACTCCCACTTTCAAGTCAACGAGCAAAGGTATCCCCAGCGTCGAGCTTTAAGGTGACCTATTTGCTTAGTCAGCCCAAGACAGGAAGGACCCTCGAAGTTAGCCACCAGTGCCCGTCTAATTTCACAGCTAAGTTAAGTAGCCAAGAACTTGACAGTCATTTAATAAAATTTCATTTCCACCCATCATTTCAACATCCTCGAGCCAGAGACAACACGAAAGACGAAGTCCGTTGCAAGCCCCACAATTTTGATGCTCAACAAAATTTTATGAAATACTTGGAGAGCAAATTTTATGTGAGTTGGCGGCTATAAAATTTTAGCGCCAGCAAAAGTCACTGAAGAGCTTCCAGCGGTTTCGCCGGACTCCCCCTCAGCTGGCCCCGTCTTTGGGTCCCTGGGCTCGCCTTTGGCTAATAATACCAGAGCATTTACACCTTTATGGGGCGTACTTAGAAACGCTTATTTATGCTAATGGCGCAAGTGGGCCAGGGCTGTGGCGGGGTCACTAATTCCACCCCGAAGCACTGTAAAAACAAGGGATAGTGAGCTTAAGATTTGAGCAGGTAAAGTTGCCAGGATGTGCACTGTACGTATATTTCATCGCACCACTCGCAAAGTTTGGGGTCCACCCTCATCTCTTGACCTTCGTCGCACCCTTCCCCATATTCCTACCCAAATTCCGGGTTCCCCGTTCCCCTCCCGACGGACAAAGACTTTCGTGCTGCACATTCTTGTCTCGAATGTGTTTGTAATTTCCCTAGAGTGTGTTTGACTTTGACGACTTAAGTTGTAAAACTTTAACATTATCATTTTCACTACGACCAGGACTTGGCCGGGAGTGGAGCACAGGACACATGCAGGGCAGCTCCTTGGAGCATGTGTGCGCTGCCGGCCTGGAGTCAGCTCCTTCAGATGTTTGTCCTGGGCCCAGACAGACAGTTTGATGATGTTGACCTTCGCTACTTTTACTTTCTCCGCACAGCTTCGCTTTCCGGCTTCTTTTAAAGTTTTCTGCGACCTTTAGATATTGTTGACATATCGTATTACAACCAGCAGACGGAGCCACGCCGCTGAAGGCCAACGGAGAGTGGGAAAATTCAGGGAGCCAAGGAGCCACCACCTCTGGTCTAACCCCGGCTCGGATTACGAAATCCCAAACCGATATTTTGGTACATTTCTCCTCACATGTGTCAATTAGTTCAATCAGAAGGCGAACACACATCGACCGCATCTACCATCCCCAGATGAGCTACCCCGTAAAATCGGCTGCGAATCGAATGTCACTTTAAAGGTTTCCATTCAGCGGCTGTTTTTCTTTCTACTCGGAAACTGACAAATAACCAAGGAAATGAGTAAATCACGTCTGCACAAACCATCCCTCTAACTCACTTTTCTGTTTACTACAATTTTGTTACTTAGGTTTTCGATTTTTCTTTTTTTAATTTTTAATGCAATATGACCCGGGATGTTAAATGTAGTTAGGATAAATCAACCCGACTTGAATTTCCTCACAAGTCATAGATTATCTGAATGAGGTGACAGAGTGATGAACTATCTGCTATCTATAGAACAATGTTTAACTGATTTCCCTCGGTTTACTACTCTTTGATTTCCATTGTGACTTGCTAATGAGATTCATTCTCGCAGTTTTCGTCAAGAATTCAATTTACAGCAAACTGAAATACTCACATTTTCCAAAATAAATTCAGTCTTTCTCACACATTGAATCAATTTCTCCGGATTTTCCCATCCCAGATAAATGTTAACCTGATATTTAGCTCGCCAAGCTTATCGCGAGCGATTTCCGCGTGCGCCGTAAATTGTAATCAAATTGGGCGAGAAGTCAATCTGATTTATGCATTTCCCATAGCCAAACTGTTCGAAGTCCTACCCCTTACCCAGAATTTTTCAGGAATTCCCTGGAAAAGCCAAAAGGTAAACACATCGGCAGCCTTCGAAAATTACCGGGCCACCCTTTGACACGCGGCCGAGGAGTCACCGTCTCACAAGGACATAATCAGCTCGATTTCGTAAATCTCGACAAGCTGCTTATCCCATGCAATGTGAGCGGAGTTCCAAGGATCTGTGTCCCTGATTAACATCTCCAGCTCGTGTTCGCAGGGCAGAAATCCGGTCGTGGGCTGCTCCGCCTGTCAGCCTGACAGCCGGACGTGCTGTACCGCCCTAAGTACAGTAAAGCCCGACGCGTGCTCCTGTCACACTGGCAACACATGTGGGAGGTGGATGGGCAGGGATCTCCGCCTGATTGGCATCGGAAATTGAAGTGTTTTTATTAATTCCAATGTTGACTTTTTGCACTGTCTTCGATGATACTGCGAATGTTTTTATTTTTGGCCAAGCGGTCCGATCTCCCCGCTTTATTTCTTTTCTGTGGCCATAATTGAAATTCATCGTTGGCAGATTTCGATGCCGAGCTGATTGACAGCTGAGTGCGTGGAAAGATTGACGCTTATTGAATTGAGTCATCCGCAGTGGGGTGGCATCCCTTGGAGATTGACGCGGCAACTGTTGCGTCAAGTCGTGTGGAAACTGCGGAAGGGATTGCTCTGCCTAAGCACTCCACTAACTTGACTTGGAAGTCAACCAGGCCTTGTGTCTAAATTCCCAACTACTCGACCTGCTCACACACGAATCAGAGATGCCTCCCAAGCCCAAGCATCGCGACGTGGCAGGGTTCCTGAGCAAGGTGCGCAACTTCTTTCTGGGTCGCACCCACAGGACGGCCCATCGCTTTGCGGACACTATCGCCCCAAGGACTCAGCCGCCCCCGGCCATTCCTCAAGGTCCTTCGGAAGGCCTCTCCGCCAACTACTACTACACCAGGGATCCTCGCCGATTGGTTAAGCCGTTCGTCGATGTGGTGCAGGAGTACAAGCAGATGCTGATGAGCAAGGCGAAGGCCGAGGAGGCAGCAAAGAACGCTAAGGCCAATTCTGGAGATGCCTCGAAAGACGGAACACCGCCTCCTCCACCGCCCAAGTCCGAGGATGCCGAAAGGAAGGAATGCAAGGAAGAGGAGGATGCCAAAGTGAAGAAGCTGCCCACTCCTGGAAAGGTGCACTCGTGGGAGGGGCCACATTAACCAAGTTTATAGTTGCTCTTTGACATCCCGTTGAAAACAGTTAAAGTGTTCGGCTAATTGCCAGTTCCATTGCAATGCACTTTGCAGATATTTACGATGTTAAGCAGGACAATTAAAGGACTCGCAGCGGAGGCAATGCAGGCGGTCGTAAAAATGCAAATCTAATTAGACGTCAAGGGTGAAAATCATTTATGGCACCTGCATGAAAATTTAATTAAGCACACACAATTATCGAAGGCAGAAGCTGAGAGCTGGGAAGGCGGAAAAGCGGCAAGGCAGAGGCCCAAAGGGTTCGTTACTGGCCAGAACAATAAATTTGCAGGCTTAATAACCTTTAATGCTATCAAAATTTATATTTACAATTTAAAACGAGGCAATTTGGCCGACGTTGAGTGGATTATGGGCCATTGTTAATGATGATTGCAGGTCGATTGTTAATTGTCTGGGCATCACAATTTATGCTGATGACTTTCGCCCATCGATTTATTGATTGGAGTTTGATTTTGGCGCACATCGCCAACACCCCAACCATCGCTTTAATCCAAAGGCCAAAAGCCAAGCCACTGCCATCATTCAAACAGAAGAGAAAATGTAATCAAGTTTTGTATGTTATGCAAAAAAGTAATATTCTCCCTCGCTAAGGGTGGCGCCCCTCGATTTATGCGAATTACCCTTATAAGGCGAAGACCCAGATTGAGCTGGAGGGTTGCACCATTGGATTGGAAAAGGGTGTCAATTGCCCGGAAACTTCAGACTGTCAAGTCAACATGTTGCCGGGCTCTTCATCCGCCAGCAGTTGGCGAAATATGAGATTCGATCCGAAACAGTGGCCCACTTTATGCATATGACTGTAATGCGGATTTCTTTCTGGAGCTGGTCGTGGACTTTATTGCCTCATATGAATGGGGAAACACGGCCTAATTTATCCATAAGGTTGTTCTGTCGTTCTGTCGTTCTGTTGTCCTAGCAACTGTGCCACTTTGGAGCCTGAGTATCTGAATCTGCAGTGCTAATATCCTGGCAAGAATTACTCCTGCTGGACGCACTCAAATAAGCAAATATTCAAAAAAATGTGATGCCACAGAGCAAACACTTCCGCACCCTTTCGACCCGCCCTTGAACCCGCATCCCCCGAAATGCCAAGCACTTGGGGTAACCGAAAAATTGCCTCTCGGATGACGACAGCTGTGCCACAGAGCCGCAGCGTCGCAGAGTCGCGAATGTCAAGCTCCGCCGCAAATGCTTCCCAATCAGAGACGCGTAATTAAAATATGTACAAACAGACCGAAGGGAAAACTCTCATGTAAGAAAACAGCGGGCGGAGGCAACTTTGTTTGCTTTGCGTGTTTTCCTATAAAACCAAAAGCAAAACCAAAGAAGCAAACACAGCGGCGGCAGCGGGAATCGCGGCCAGGCAATAATAACAAGAAAAACATTTGCATAAAGCAACAAACAGGGAATTGCGGGGAGGGAGATGGGGCCCAGACCGACCAAGAGCTTCAAGCGGAAGTTAATGAGAGCTGGGCTTCGGGATGGTGTCGTGACACGAGGCAGGGTTTCTAGATGGAAGGTTTGGGGCTTATATTTTAATATTATATATTTAACTACTTAGTAAGGTACATCAATGGCTGAATGGAAGAATTATTGCAATCTTTTGGGTTTTTTTAAATTTATTAGTTCAGAATAAGATTTGTGAATTGTAATTGGAAAAACTGTTTTGAAAAATCAAAGACATACAAAATCTCAAAAAAACTTAGCTTTTCTCAGTTCTAGCACAAATTTGATTTTAACAAATGAAAAAATAAAGTTAAGTTCTTAAATTAAATTGCATAAATTCACGGAGATTAGTTTTAAATTGACCCTAATTGAGACACAGGATAATATAAATTAACTATTGAACTGACACCCCTTGTTTTTAAGGTTTATTAAAATAATTACGATGTTAGCCTTAATTCGATTTCCTTTTAAAAATCAATCGTGTCACGGGCACATCTCACAAGGCTGGGGGTGGGGAAAATCTAAAAACTGAAATGCTACCAAAGCAAAATCACTTCATTAATGCGTCATTTGTAGGGGAGCCTGGCCAGACCTTGGCTAGGACATCGCCATTTGCCATATGCAACATGGGCCCGCAGGCCATACGGAAGTTGTCTCCACGCCGGGCATGAAACTTTGCGCTGAACTTGCCACCGTGGCATTGTGAGGAGGGGTTGGGGTGACAGTCGTGCAAAAGTTGATTATTTTTTAGCAGGCGTTACGAGGTTGGGAGTCGCGGAGAGTGAGCTTCTCGCTAGTACAGTGAATAATGACTTTTGCCACCGTTCGCCGAGCGAGATGCCTCCGGCCAAGTTAACGTGCTTTTTTTATCTGTCGCCCTCTCGAAATTGGGGGAAAGTCCTTAGCTTTTGGTTTCCCGGCTGCCATCGTGCCACCGTGCCACCGTGCCACCACCCCACCATGCCTCCCAGCCGCTTTCTGCTGTTGTCGCAAAGTTATGCAGGCTCATTAAGTTGTTGTACAGTTTAGAGAGAGAAAATTGTCAGCTTGCTTAATTTGCCCGAGTTCGGCTGAAGGCAGAGGGTTGAGAGACGACTCGGTGAATCCGGGGGAACGGAACTCGAGTATAAACAAAAGACTTCCTTGCTGCAGAGCTCCATTGTCCTTGTCCTGGTCGGAGGGGGCAGTAGCTCATGGCGAGTGTTTAATGAAATGAATTTTAAGAGCGAATTTATTATATTTTCCTAAAACGAAATGGAAAGTGTGAAGCTTTCGACCTCTGGGTTTATGCCTCGGCCCCAAGAGCGGATGTAATTAAGCGGGGCTCTCCATTCGATCCACTGCCGGTGAAAAGTGAAAAATTTCAATTATGCTTATCTACCAGGACTGTTCGCACGTGTCACAATTTTGATGGCCTATCTGAAAATGTCAGAAACTAGGTATCTACTACAACAACTCAAGAACGATAGTTAGTAATCATATTTTATACAGGTTATCTATGCAATACATTTGAGACTAAACTTATGCTGCAACTAGAACTTCTTAATACTCTTATTCCCATGTATAATAACTGATTGTTCATTCAACAGACCCTCGGAGTATGTTGTTACTGAGAAAAAATACTTTGATTAGCGAAAATCTAATCAAATGACTTCACATTACTTCCTAACTACTTACTATCTCCTCCACTAATCCAGCCCCATCCAGCTCCAGCCAGCAGATATCATTTTTCACTGGAATAAGTTTGGAGTAAAGTCTTACCCCGGAACGGTTGGGCTGACCACGTCAACTTTTGCTCTTCTGCTCTGACACAATTTCACCTTCAATTAAACTTGAGGTAATTGACAGCGATGCCGAGGAAAGAAATCCCCAATTGGTAACCGCAGGTCGGGGGGAAAGTAATACAAGCATCCTCCCCTCTGCTGCCGGAGAGTTAAATGACGATGCCTTAAACTGATTGTGTGGATTAAATTGCCATATTGGTGAAATTGGCAGAGACAGCATCTTTCTTCTCCGTGAGCTCTTTCCCGGCAGGAGTCAGGCGAACAAGTATCGAAAACTTATTTTTGATAAGCGCAATTATAATTGGATTTGGAGGAAGTTGCTCCGAGAGCGAGCAGGTAGCCGGAGCTGGAGTGGGAGCGATGATTAATCTACCTCCGGAGTATTTAAAAGCCAGATCGAAGCAACCCGAAAGGAAAATTGGAAGTGCGTTGTTGGGCTGCGATAAAGACGTGTTCGAGGCCCTTCCTGCTCCCCTCGGTGTTTTCTTTTTGTAAATGTTTGCTGTCAAGATAAGCACAACACAGCGTGTGGTTTGGTCTGATTTTCACCTCCTCGAGGCCGCCAGCACCACCCCCGCCAGATAAGGAAAGGAGTTTGTCAGGAGTCCTGGTTGCTAAGCCAAGACGGGTCTTAACAGAGACAAATGAAGTTGTTAGCGGGTGGCCCCAGAGAGATGCTTTCTTGGCCGACCCTTTCGAGGGGAGTGTGGTGAGGGTTGGAGCAGAGGTCGATGCATTTCGGTTTCGCCTTTGATGTGCCCTCGCTGTGCCAGTTGATTGGTCATTTGGCCATTAATTGAGTTTAATTATTGGGGCGTTAATGAGGGGGCCTCCAACCGAGTGGGGCAGGGTGGCATGCAACCGGGCGAAGGGCAGATGATGGATTGGCGTGGGTTAAAGAAGTCAGGCCCTCGTTAAAGCCAGATTAAGCGATCCTTAAGCAGGCCCTGAAACTTATAGCCAGGTCTTGATTAGTTGCTCTCCTCTTGAAACTGTCAAGATGTGCTTGAACGACCATGCCGAATATATCCCACCTTCCAGGGCCAGCACCAACACACCCACCAATGTCGATAGCTCATTAAAACTCGGCACATAACTCAAGGCGAGGCGAGAAGGAGAAAGGGGCGCTCTCTGGACCACACAACCCAAAATGATAGACATTTATTTGCGCCCATAATTAAACGCAGACAATGCCAGCGAGCAATGTTTGGGGGCCGGGACACGCCTCCCTTGTCAAATATTTCAGGGCTGCGTTGGCAACAATTTACAAAATGCAAATGGGCGTAGCTTCCGCCTCCGCCTCCTCCGCCTCCTCCCTCGCAGCCATCGAAGCCTCTAATGAGCGTTCTGCCAAGTCAAGGCATAAATTTGGGAAACTTCGTATGCGGATGCCTGTGCCCCGGGCACATGTGACTCAAGCGGGTGAGCCTTCCTCCATTCCGCCCCTTAAATGTTGATTTTTCTAAATGGAAGAGCAACAGTGAAAGTTTTTCTCGGAACATTTTCCGATTGAAGTCAATTAAAAACGGCCAAGGAGTCCTCAAGCCCAAAACACCCTCTTTGGATGGCTGACCGACCCTTTCGCGAGTACTAAAGGACACTTCCAGTCAGCGCCTTTTGTTGTGTGCAAATTAATGATGGCAATGATTTCACTGGGGTGTTTAAATTATGTTGCTCTTGAAATTCTGTTTATGCTAAGTTTTAATTGTACTTGTCAACCGAAAGGCAGGGCAGGGGTATCGCCCAACGGGGGTTGTTTCGACATTTACTTTAAGGAAATTCAAGGATTTCCAACGAAATAATTGAAACATCTCCTATAACTGTCCTGTTCAATCTTTAATCTCCCTGCTCCCTGCTGAACAGCTCGGCTGGAGCGAAATTTGCAACGGCAGAGCAGAGCCAGCAAAGTTTTTCCGAGCCCACACCCATCAATCCCCATCAAGACAGACATCCACGTCAAAGTTGCACACTGCGCTTTTATGCAGATAAATTGTCGGTTATTCCCACTCCGCGCCCCCCGTTTCGTTCGGTTGCCTTTGCTGCCGCGTCAGTTGTTTCGGGGCGGGATCTGGAGGATCCGTATCCGGATCCGAGCGGACCCACTCGAACCCAACTCACCCGCCTCACCCGCACCCGAACAGAGCTGCCTTTGCCTGATTGTTTCATAAAAGTTTCTGCTGCAGGCCCGGCCACTATTGTTGTATTTGTTGTTGTGCCTTCTCCTTCTGCTGCTGTTGTTGTTGTGATTTGTGCAAATTAATTTGCTTATAATTTTTACGCTTAGTTAAACACAATTTTGAGTGATTTTCACACAGGGCCCAATGCCTGGGTGCTAAAAAGTTTTCTCTTCTTGGGGCGGGCGCACAGTGGGCCACGGGTACGCCGGGTGGAAAGGCGGCTGAAATGGTTTCCCAGCCGGGGAATATGGAAATTTGCACTGAAATATCTTTTAAAGCCGGGCCAGCACATATCCCCATTTAAACGGAGAGAGCCGAAGCCTCCAGTTGCATTCCCCAGGGGCTTCGTTAGGCGCAACTGGCTGCCATGCAAATGTGGACGTGGGGGCAGGGGAATCGACTACAAAAAGGCACATTTAAATTTTATTTCCGGGGTGGCGGTGGCGGTGGCGGTGGCGCTCCGATCCCACAGAATTTTTCACCCATTTGAGCGTTTTTCATATTTTTATAAATTGCTATAAATTGAGATATTAATACGATACGCGACAAAAGTCACGGCATCCAGTCGTCCGGCCGGACTCAAATTGCCAGAGCTGTTGTTGGGCTCTTGGTTCACTGATTCCGCTGCCAACAGGCGGCAAAAAGTGTTGCGACATTAAAAAATACGCGCGCAAGTGTGGCACAAACAAAATGTTCAGTTATTTGTATAAATTGCGATGCGACAACTTTTTCGGCGGTAACATTTGGTGGCGAGAGTTGGCCCGCGATAATGACAAACTTTCGACCGACTGGCTTTAAGCCGCCACTTAAACGGTGCCTGAACGGAGGTTGCAGTAAGTGCGTTGTCTCCTGGCCGGCTTTTGTGGCAGCTTAAATATTCCAGGCACACATTCTCCACACATTTCGTCAGCCGCTTCAATTGGACTGATTTAATTGAATCAGTTTGGTCGTCTAGTACTGGCCCCTTTCCCCCGAGCTTCTGGTCTACCGATTCCGTGTCTTCGGTCTTTCAATTTACTACCCTGTCATTGTTGTTCCTCTGTAGTTTCGGGTCTACGTTTGACTATTCACTCCCCTCCGCAGCTACTCCTTTTTTTGCACACGTTTGCGTGCCATGCACGGCATAAAAATTTTGACACAAAAGCCGTTGCATACAATTGGGCGCAGAGCAGCGACGCACACATCCACCGATATACTATCTGACTCTGTTTGTGTGTGTCTGAAAGGTATCTCTGCTTGTGTGTGTTCAGGGGCCTGACCAAAAGGAGGACTCTCTGTAGAACGGGTTCTATGTTCCGCGGCAGACATGTTGAGGTCGTTGCCGAGCCCTGATTTTGTATGCAGCTGCTACGAAAATCTTTTCCAAGATTAAGCCATATACTCGCTGAGATGATGTCCTTACGAAGGCAAAGCCTAGCTTGTCTACGCAAAGTATTCTGAATCGGATTTCTGATTCTTACGATTGACTTTGTATATTCATAATAATGGAAATACCAAAATTCGATTTTTAAATTAATATTATATTAATATTTGTTGCCTTGTTGTTTCTTCTTAATTAATAGAAGGAAATTGATGTAATATTTTTTAAAACGCTGGTAAAACTAGTGCGCCTGACAGGTCAGAATAAAAAAAATTGTATCTAAAATTTGATGTAAAAAAAGCTTATATTATAGTTTCTTGAGTATTAGCCCATTTCAAATTACAGATATTATTTAGGAATATTTCTAGACGAGCTCAATTTGACCAACATAAAGCAAATTCCTATCTTAAACAATCACTTTTTTCAACATTTCCTATTTAAGCACCAATATTTTAATGCAAGGCTAAAGGCAAAGGCTACTTTCCTTGTGTCCGCGATAAACGATAAGAGAAACTTCTGGCCAACAACTTCAGCCTTCCTTTTTGGCTAACATCTTTATAAATAATGCTAAATAAATTACCCCGCATAGGAAAACAATCATTACACTTGTGAACCATGGCCAATTTCGATTAGAGGGATCGACTCGGCCAGGAACAAAAGTGAAACAAACTTTTGGTTCATTCATAAAGAAGTCGAGTTCGGCGGAGGGGAAGGAGGGCTCAGACTAAACTGTATCTCATGTGAGGCCTACGCACGTATAAGATTTCTTATTTACGATAGAGAGACACAAAAAAAATAGCAAAATAGCAAGGACAAAGCAAGGAGGCGGCCCTTGAACCCACTCCTGGAGCTATTCAGGCAGAAAAAAGGCAGACAACGCAGAGACAAAACACGAGCCAGTAAAAAGGCCAAATATTGAATCGTGCGTAATTTACGATAAAAAGGGGAAAATTGGAAAAGTTTTCTCCCAGTCTTCCTTCCAGATTTAGTAGTAAGTAAGGTGGGGGACCGGGGACTAGGGGTGGGATCCCTTCCTTCATCGTTCGCTTTCGCTTATTTATGTGGCTCGTGTCGAGGGGCAGGGGGCACGTGTTTCGTAGGAGAAAGAAAAAGACCCGTTCAGCCCTGTAAATAAAAATTCTGATTGCCTGAATGCCATACTAGCATGTGTGTGGGTGTATCTCCAGGACCAATTGAGCGTTCTTATTAAATATGGCAAGTAGCTAAATAGATTAGACAAAGGACTTGGAGTGCGTTGCCCGGTAATACAGAGGAGTAAGAACTCCTTCGGATGCCCCTATCCTCTGCCTTCCCTTTACCAAGCCCAATGGCCAACGTGTCGAATACGTTATAATGCCAGTGTACGCCTTAATTGCAAAGCACTTTTTGTTGTGGGCTCATTGAGCTGCAGCTGTTTCAGCGGGCGCCATTAATTCGCATTTGGTCAGCCGATTGCTGGCGCTCTCCGACACTTTGCATCGCGATAGGCACGTCACCCCGCCTCCGCCTCCGTCACCGCCACCGCCTCCTCCCGGCTTTTGCCATAAAAACATTTATGTAATTGCTGTTATCGACAGCGGCTGGCTCTGTAAAATGGCTTCGTGGCCGCATCCCGGATCGGGAATGGCATGGCGATGGCCCCGTAAACGGGCCTTTAATACACTTTTGATTGGATTGTCGCACAAGTTAATTGAACGGCGCGGCATTGGATATTGCCAACATTGTCCGGCCTCCGACCACCTAAGCCACTGGGCCATCGCGTTTTTAGCCTGGCCAGCACAAAGCTGGTGGCAATTAATTTTGAAACTAGTGGGTAGGACTATCACCCACCACCACCCCCTCGATGGATCGCTGAAACTCAATAGGGCAGCCAATTCATGTCGATTCATGGAAGCTCATTAGTTGGTGGACCAACCATGCCACATCCAACCCCCAAAATATGCAGCCGTCTCCTTTGTTCGATTGTATCGTTATCCACCCGCCCAGCATCCAGTGCAGCTTCTCCTGCGGAGTATCTGTATCTCAGTTCGACTCGGTTCCTTTTTAATGCTCGAACGCATCCTTATCTTTTGTTGTCTCCGTCGTCGAGCAAATTGTTTGAGAATGACCCGCGTAATTTTGCTTTTAGCTGATTTACTGTAAATTGTATTGTGGCGGAGATTTGGCCAGTCCCATAAAAAATAGTACGCATCGTGGCATCTAAATGTATTCGACATGCTTACAAATTGATTGACCTGCAGAAGAGGACCTGCGACTCCATCTGGACTGCGCTAATGGATGGGCAGCAATTTGGCATGTGTCACGGCCAGGAAGAAGGCTGTGAATGTATCCTCCGATTGGCGACTTACCTTTCTGATAACTCATCATTGCAAATTAGTTGCGCATAGATGAGAGGAATGAGAGCCCGATTCAGTACAGCGGGGCCAGTGTGGAGAACTGAAAGACGGAGGAATGAAATGATCAGATTTATGGATGACTCAAGAGTTTCTATGACTATACTACACTATACAGCCCGGATGCAATCAGCATAATAGGAGAGCAACTTCTTCCCAGCCACCTCGACAAACACCATTTCTACCGTCATCGTCTTCTGCCACTTTAGCACATTTTTACTTCTGCCACTACTCGAGGCAGTTAAGAACCTTTTGCATTCGTTTGTTTGACTTTTCCATCCAGCAAAAGATTTCAGCGTTCCCGATGTGTACCTAGAACTGAGCCCGCATCCCAGGACATTCGCAGGAGACCCAAAGACGTTCTAGTGGCCCACGGAGGAGGAGCAAGCAAACAATCTCAAGTTTTGTTGGCGTTAGTTTTGTAAATTGCAGGTTGCAACATTTTCATTAAATTAAGTCAAATAGCAAACAAGTGGATAGGAGCTTGGCACGGCTCAGGCAAACAATCAAGACTCCTGGCTGGCTCCTGACGAGAGTCCTGTAAACAATAATAGTTAACTGCCAGCCGGGTAAGCAGCATGGCATTACCGAAATTAAGACAGCCCTACCCTACCCTAGGGGTATCAAGTTGTCATAAGCTGAGAGGATTCCGCCAAAGGATTGCGGCGTTGCCAGGCGATGACTCTCTGATGCCTCTCCGATGAAATACCCAAACAATGATTGCAAATGTTCTAAAATTATGTTTCCATTCTCAGTGTGCTACCGATTAATCTGCGTTGCTTTTCGTGGAACGATAGGAGCAGCTCCTGCCCCAAACTCGGATGGCGAAGCCCCAAACGTCAGCTGAAACTGACAGCGTGTCCTGGTTGCACATTTTTGCCTGGCTCGACAAAAGTCAAGAGCTCACCAGCCCAAAGAGGAAGGAGGCCCTTCCCAACGTGGCATTAATTAAGTTTGTAACGACAAATGCCAACACGACACGAGACGTAAACACTCGCACAGACAGACGCCCTCCCATAAATCAGACTAGCTCCATACAAATGCAAAGCGACAACAGCAGCAGCAGGAGCAACGGGCTCAAAGGATGTCCCGAATGTCCTGGACGGGAGCCGAGTGCAGTAACGGCGTCTGCTTGGATGTCATGACGATGTTAATTTTATAAACTCTTCAGTTTTTAGCCCCCTCCCAAGCTTCTCAAACGCTTCAGCAGCTTAAACCATTCCCGCTTTTGTCGCTGTTGTTGTAGTTGTTGGTCCTGTTGGTCCTGCGTGTTTGTGTCCACGCTAGTTAGCGCCTGCGGTGGGTTTGTGTCTGTGCTGTGACGGATGTGCGTTGCGAGAGTGTGTGTGTGGCAGTGCAGCGTGTGTTTGTCTGGTGTGTTTATGTCTCCTGCTGTCTCGTTAACAGGATTTGAGGGTCGCTTTAGCATCGTCCCCGTTGCGGTTGCCGTCCTTTAATGGCTGCCTCAGATACCTTTAAATAAACTATGTATTTAAGATAGTCGTGGGTAATTTCTTACTAAATTGTCTCCGACAGCATCGCTGTTTTGATAACACTACTTCTTTTACTATTACTATTAAGTTTTATTACAACTTATTTAAAAACAAAGAAAGTTAATCGGTGCGATAGTTATATTTGTCAACATTTTTAAGGCTCTACCTTTCCGTGTAAAATAATTTCATTTTTAATCGACTTAAGGGTAAGATTTACGAGGTGTGTTCAAAAAGTAAGGTGACTCTTCAAATTTCGCGAATTTCAAATTTTTCGATTATCGATTTTTTTGTTTTGTTATATTGGTACACTCTTCCCTAACATCTGTACCAAGTTTCAATGGAACATCCTCTTTTGTTTGGTTGTGAGAGGCGTAAAGTTACAAGTTGTTTTGCGAGCTCGGCGATTTTTTGCTATCGAAAAATATGGATCAAAGGATTTGGATTTTTTGGCCAAAAACAACACCACAATAATGCCTCAGCCACCATATTCACCGGATTTGGCCCCATGTGACTTTTTCTTGTTCCCAAAACTGAAGATAATCGAAAAATTTGAAAAATTTGAAATTTGAAAAGTCACCTTACTTTTTGAACACACCTCGTATATTAAATCGATTCGAACTACAAATTACGTCGATCAAATTCAATTTACTCTATGGGAACGAACTATATATAGAGCTAACTATAGTTCGCCACATTCAAGGCCTTTTACTTTGTCTTCTTTCCTAAATTTAAAGTTTTAACTTGCTTCGATGTCTACAAGAAGAGAGCCAAATTTCAACGCTTTATATTCTGGCACGTCTTAAAGCCAGTCAGAGCTCGAATTTGCCGGCTCTGATTTATTTTAATTTTCCCAGCCACGTGCAACATATTTCTATTTGTTTGACGCGCCGCATTCTGCAGCTCGCATTTTCCAGCCAGGCGCTCCTCACATGGAAACTCGAGGGGCCACCGAAACGTAGCCTAGCAATTGAGCCTTGACTGAAGGTGGAAAGTGGGTGGCAGGAAACGCCGACTTTGCTTTGTGCAGCAGCGCGTGAATCGGTATAGGAGGTAAAAATGCAATGTCTAGGCAAACACAGAGGGCCACAGCGGAGGTGGGGCAAGTATATATATGTGTACGGATGGGTGGCTGTGGAAAAGAATTTTATTTGTTTATGGCACAGAAGGCGGCCAACAAAAAGTGCAACGCAGCTGCCGGTTAAAAAGCCGAGGAGCAGAGAAAGGACTTTTAGGACCTACCAGGTGCAACAGACTCACACACACGCACTCATTGTCAATATGGGGCGTGGAAAACTTGCAGCTGTGTGGGTGTGTCTATTGTCTGTCTGTCGCATATGCCGCATGGGTATCTTTGTATGCATTAGAGGACTGTGCGAAGATTTTGTTTTTCCGTAAGTTGTGTAAAAAGTGAAACGCCTTTTCAAACGGAAAAATAAAAACATCAGAAAAATAAGTATTCCTTACAAGACATCTAAATATAATATATTTTATTACATATGACAAAACTAAATACCCTATTTTTAATTTCAAAAATAAGTTACTAAGTTACAGAAGTAGTTAAAAGTAATCCTTGCAAAAGACTTTATATTTTTTCATTTAAAGTAGTTGTTTAATCCCAAATCATCATCAAAGTAGTAAAAGTATATAGTAGACTTTGAGTACGAGTATTTATAATACATATGGGTGTGTGTTGTAAAAGCAGCACAGCAAAAGGGAAATAAAATCAAAATGTTTATTTATGAATTAATATAAAAATGTACATAAAAATTGCGGTGTTTTCATTTAAGCCAGAAATTAATGTGTATTCAAATGCAACGGCTCTGATGACCTGGCTCAACATATGTGGCATCATTTTCAATCGTATTTGCTCAACTATTTGTAAACATTTTCCATTGTTAACCCTTTCAATACCCCTGCAAAGTGCAACATCCGAGAGCGGAGTACATAATTTAAATGGCAACTTTAAAATGTTTACCAAACGCTTCATCGTAGATGTAATGTGAATTTACGGGCCAGCAGTATCCAAACACACTCGCTGCACCACCGCAGCCATCTACTCACACCCACCGACGCATAGCCGTTCAGCAGTGTCTGTTGCTATTTGCGCTTAACCCACGAAAGGAGAGCCCTGAATAGCAGGCTACCTTTTTTCTTCTCGACTCTGCAGGCGCGAAAAGATATACCACTGAAAGGGGCCAGGAGGGAGCCTGGCAAGTTCACCATTCGACACTCAGTCAGTCGGATAGACGGACTCCCGTGCTCATTACTGTGGCAAATTTTTTGTTCACGTCCCCGCTGGATTTTAATTAAAATTAATTACATTAAGTGCAGCGAGCAAACAACAAACATCACAAACAGCATAGAAATCCGCAATCGCCGCCCGAGAAACAGAAAACCAACCAGGGCCTGGGGGAAAATCGGTAGTCGACTCTGGGATACCACTTAGGTGGGGTTGTAAAATAAATAATAAAGAGAGCTCGTCTTCTTGTCTATCATAACTTCGCAAGTCTCGATCTTTTGGGGATCTTCCTAGATAACCTGACCACAATTATGTTTACTTTAACAAGCAGAAATAATTTACTACCGGTTACATACCCTTCCGAAAACCGAAATACCCTTTAAGCTCTACGAAGGAGGTATATAAAAGTAAAAGAGCCATATTCGCAGACGGGAAAAGAGATAGAAAGAGAGTTAAGAATTGTAAAGAACGAACTCGGTAGTTAAAGCCGTAATGCCCTTTAATCGGCACTGCGCTTTGATGGCTAACGTTAAAATTTTAATTTTTTGCACAGATTTTTTGGCACACATCCTTTGGGTCAAATGGCAACTTTTTCACACAGCATTCTTTTGGAGGATGTTAGTGCAGCAGCAGATGGGAATATTTTGTTTTGAGTTGCCTAAATGAGCCTTTGAGTGTGGTTGTGGTGGCCAAGCTTTCACGATGCTAGCCGAAAAGGTGTATTTTAGAGTAAATATAATGAATGAAAATTAATATAAATAACTGACTTACTTCTTAACTAACTCCTTCCATAAGAACCCTTGTAATTATTATGTTTTAATGTCAACATTCAAATGATTCATCAGGAATACCAACTCGTTGTACAGACTGAAAACACCCCCTCCTAGTAATAGAGCTCGCGTTCTACAAAAAGTATAAAAAGTTTTTAACTAGACTTCAGCTGACAACAAAATCTAAAATACAACAATCTGGTCGAGTGGCGGGTCCGAAATCTCCCCTCAGTTGGAAACTTTTAAGCAACATCATAAAATACAACAATTGACAACATTTTTATTATTTCGCCAGCATCGTTTTTGATTTTTTGGGAAATTTCTGAATTTTTCTGAGCAATTAAATGTTGCCACTTGGCAGCAAAAGTTGCGCATAGAAAAGTTGCCCGGCCGAAGTTGCAGAGCGAAACTCGTCAGGCGAAAGAGGAAAAGTAAAAGCAAAAATCGAAGCCAACCTCCCTGGGGGAACGCAGATCCGAAACCGACAATAAATGACAATAAAAATAAGCCAAAGGAAAACATTCCGTAGTGCCAGCAAGGA